CTCTCTCCTCCATGGTCGGTTGATGTATTTCTTCTCCCTCTCAATCTTGTTCTCCATTTCTAGATCTGGTTGGATGCAATTTTTGGCTAGAATCCCATCTCCTTGTCCCAGTCTTAGGTAGTTAGGTTGTTTTTCATGCATATGACTTTGAATCCACCCCCCACATGTTTGTGCTTGTGTTAGTGTAGCGCATGGATTCATTTCCTGTAGGAGTTGGGTCTTTGCGTGGAATTATGCATGGGATTTTTGTAGGTGTTTTTTTGTCTGCAATGTCGCCCCAACGAAGTAGGGATGGATTTAGGCTAGTTAGATGGTATGCTATATGGTTATATGTCTTTTTTTTCATCTTCTAAAATTTGCCGCTGATGGTCTTCTAGTTAGAATGATGATTTGGTTGTTAGTTTGTGCATTATCTGTTTATCACTTAGATGTAATCTAGCCTTTGTCATAATCTGATTTGATTTTCTGTTCTAACATATGGTTAGCATTTATAGCTAAGAGATATACTAGTTTGTAGCAGTTGTCATACATTTGAGAAAAGACTTTGCCTTGAAGGATCTAGGTGATCTACACTATTTTTGGGTGTTGAAGTAAAAAGGTGAAAGATGGCATTCTCTTGACCCAAGAGAAGTATGCCTCATTATACTGGAACGTGCATTTATGATGAACTGTAAAGTTTCGAACATGCCCACTCTACTTCAGAAAACTATCCAAGGAAGAAGGATAACTCTTGGGGGGGGGGGGGCGAAGAGTCAACAAGATAGAGAAGTATGATAGGTGCATTGCAGTATTTTATACTAACAAGACCTGACATATATTTTCATGTTCATAAAGTATGCTAGTATTTGCATTCCCCTACTTCTCAACACTTGAGGCTTGACAAACATAAAAGAGAATATTGAGGTATCTCAGAGGTACCATGAGTACCTATCTGAAGTTTGCCGAATCAACCTTAACCTTACTAAGTGCTTTCTCATATGCTAATTGGGCAGGTTGTCCTGATGACAGAAGATTGACTAAGGATTTACTGTTTTCTTTGGTCCAAATAATATCTTGGATCAACACAGAGGTTGAATATAAATCTTGAGCTAATGCTACTGCTGAATTAATGTGGGTACAAACCTTACTAGATGGACTTGGTGTTATTCATTCTCCAGTTGTTTGCCTATGGTGTGTCAATATCGGTGCCACATATTCCTGAACAAATCTAGTTTTTCATTCAAGAACTAGGCACATTAAGATTGGTTATCATTTTGTGCGTGAAAGCGTAGCCAAGAGACTACTCGACATTTCGTTTTACCTTCACAGGTGACCAAGTTGTAGATGGTTTTATCAAGAGGGAAGTGCATATTTCAAGCCCACACTCTTGCCCTAATCTAATCTACAACCCTAGTATCATCTCCAACCCTCAACTATGATACCGTCTAAGAATCAACCCCAAACTCTAAAAACCGGCCAGGATTCAACCCTACCCTCCCTATTGACCGATTTTGATCCAATTGACATGTTTTGACCCGTTGACCATCTAGTCATAAAGCCACGTCAGCAATTTTTTTAACAAAATATTCTGTAAAATAAAAAAACTATAAAACAGTTGATTTTTTGTAAAATAAAAAACAATTATGTAAAGTAATAATAAAAAATCTAGAAACTGAAACTGAAGAAATTTACATTAATTGAAGAATTTTTGAAACTTTCCTAGAATGTTTAGTACTATTTTCTTAAATTTACAGAATTTTCCCCTTTTCTGTACAAATATTTAATTTTGGGAAAAATTGGGTAGAAAATGTAATTTGAAAATAATTTCATTGTTTTAAACAAAAAATTGGAAATTTTCCAGTATGCTTAGTATTGTTTTCCTGATTTTATAGATTGTTTTCAAAATTTCATAAAAAAATAGTTTTCCTGACCGTGGGGCAAAAATGGGGTAGAAAATTGCACTAGACTATTTTTTTGGTTTACAGAATTTTTTTGTTCATTCAACATATTCTTTTACTTTCGTCAGTTTTAGATAATTTTATTAGTATTATTTTACTTTTTTATATTATAGATTTTTTATTTTACAGAATTTGTATTGGAAAATCTGATTTTTTTGCTGACGTGGCTTGCTGACTGGATGGTCAATGGATCAAAACCGGTCAAGGGGGAGGGGAGGTTCAATCCTGGTCAGGTTTAGAATTTTAGGGTTGATTAAGACGGTATCATAGTTGAGGGTTGTACATTAGACTAGAAAAAAAAAGTTGGGGATTAGAATGTGCACTTCTCTCTTTTACCAAGGGCTTATCATGACGAAAATTAGAAGACCTCAAGGGCAATCTCAACTTTGTGAACTTGTGATTGAGGGGGCACGTTAGAAAATATTATACACATATATGGCATATATCCCCTACAAGTGTAAGCGTGGCTACCTAGGCCAACACTTAGACCATCTCCAGATTTGTAGCGGCTGCTCAATCTCCCGAAGGTGCTCATAGGGATAGAATATACACGCGTGCAGGGATGAGTGTATATATGTATGTATAAGCGTCTGTATTTGTACTGTGTTGAAAAGAAAAGACTTGCAGTGGCTGACAAGCGGGCCTGTAGTGTCGCTGACGCAGTGGCCAACATGGATTTTATAGGGGTACCAACGTGGATATTGTAGGGGCAATCCATCACCTGTGAATAGGAGGACCTCCTGAATACACCAGTGCTCCTATTATGCGCTGAAATACATGCTTAATTTTTTCCAAATGCATTTTTGGAACATTTCTTAAATGCAAAGTATAACATTGTTTTGAATGGTACATAACATTATCTTTGACTTACAGGACATTTTCTTTTTGCATTGTATAAACATTTTTGAAGTACCTTGTACATTTGTTTGAAACACGTGAACTTTTTTTAAATGTCACAAAGAATTTTTTTTGTTTGAAAGCTATCGACATTTTTCAGAAATTAAGCTAACAAAAATTATGCATAAACATTTTCCTTTATTTACCCAAAACAATAGGGTATTACAAACGCAAACAAAAGGTAAAAAAGCAGACTGAGAGAGAATGCAGTACGTGTTACACCGAAAATTTTCATTTGTCGTTTTTTTTTCAGAACCGTTTGCCCCTTCTTTTTCAGTATTGTTTTTTTAGGGTCTTTTCCCGTATTGGTACAACAGTCTCACGTGGTAGAAGTTGCTGGGCCTGCCCGTGCTTCATCAGGGTGATCGTACAACTCGCAGCATGTGAAGTATAGCCGGGCCCGTCATAGCTTGCCTGAAGGCCTCTGTACCGCATTCTAGGCTTGCTTACGGCCACGTTTTGGCCCAAATAATGTTAACACGCGAGCCCATGGTCTGCGGACTTCGTCCAAGAAGCCCACAGGGAGCAGCACATTAAACACAGATCATTACCCTTGTTTAGTACCACATCGCTTGTTGAGAACGTTGGAGCGGGAGAACGAGCTATATAAGCAAGGCGGGGTGCAACCTTGGAACATACTTACCTGGACGGGGTCGACGACAGATCAAGAAGAGCCGTGGCTTAGGCTAGTGGTCCACATTGCACTTGGTGGAAGAGCTGGCTTACCATCTCCCCAAGTGGGAGAGTGGACGTCATAATTTATGTTAGAAGGGGTTTGCGTTTGCGCGGCCCTTGCTAAATTTAATCAAAATTTTGAATTTGAATTATTTTAGATTTTTAAAATATAAAATTTGAAGAGTCGTGGGCTACACTATCCTTTTGGTAATATTTTTTTACCTTTGATTTGAATTATTCTCAATTTTAGTATTTGAATGGTAGTCTAATGTGCTCCCTTGAAATGTCGACACTGCATGCTTGATTATCTGCATGCAGTTCAGATTTCCTTGCTTACCATTTATCCTTGATGTATTGCAGTTAAGTTTATAGCTGACAAAATGATAAACTACAATATCACCAGTACATGTAAGATTCAATGGGAGACAGCGCCATAAGCCCATAACTAACATGTGGATTATTGCATCAAAGCGTTGCCTTCCAAGATAGATTATGTAAATAATCTCCTTGTGCAGTTGGGCCTTTTTCACTGGAACCTGAAAAAGGGATCATCAGTACAAACAGAGTTCAGCTGCGCTCCTCCTTCGCCAGTAGAGATATAGGAACATCCGTGGAATACTCTGTTATAACTTGCAAAGTAAACACAAATGTTCACGCCATCTTTTATCTTGCAGCCACAAGATCGTAGCTCTGCATCACATCGTAGTGATTGTCCTTATAGTATTGTTTGCCCTGCTGCAATCGTGGCTGCGTAGCTGACAACCTTTTTTTTTTTTTTTGAGGAGGCGTAGCTGACAACTGATCCTGTTAAATGTGCAATGTGCATCGTTCATTTTCTTCAGGTACTTTTCCAGGAAATCCAGTTCTATGTTTTTTGCTTGGCATGAATGAATGAAGTGATTACCTTGTACGGTTGTACCGGAGTATGATTGCAGCAGCTCAGTAGTGAGCATGCACCCTGCAGCAACAATTAGCTAGTTACTTTAACAAGCCCAGTCTATATTTCATAAAAATTTCAACTGTTATCGGCTGAGTTTTACTCGCATTCAGAAATTGGTCTTTCTTCACTTTCCTACATGCAGCAGCATATCAGTGTTGTATGCTTGGTCTC